GAAGTAGGCCTGAAAATTTATTGACTTTTCTTTTTAGCTTTTCACATAGCATTAACTCAAAAGAATAGAAAATCTTTGAAATTGGGGTGAAGTATTCTTTACAGCCATCTCTATGTCTATGAGGCAAGTGCTAGCGAAATGAGTGTTGCATATTATTATTGGAAGGCCGACCTTTCCATTATTTGCATATTGTGCACCAGCGAAATTCTGATATTTATTGTTAATTTAGAGTTTTATTACTGCTAGGGGACTGGTACAAATGCGCCGACTTGTCATAAAATTGCTTCAGATGCATTCTGAAGAGCGATTGTTACAGTCAAACGAATATTTAAGTAATCCTCATCTGCTCAAATATCTAGTGGGTGCAGCGGCAACATTGCAGACTTTAAAATCGATTTTCAATTTTGCCCAAAAATAAGTTTGTATAATATGAAAAGTTGCTCGTGTAAATGCTTCATCTTAATTTCAACAAATTTCCTTTTTGCTAAATAGGACTGGTGTACTCTATATCTAATCACGTAAAATTGTTGTTGAGATGTGTACGAAAACATCTTTCTGGTCGTTTGATGATAGACCTCTTGAATAACTTTATCTCTTTGTTTTCTGTCGCATTTTGAATATAATTTGGTTGTTCTTCTTAAATGTTGGTATCATCTTTCCAGGAAACTATGCTGATTAGGTTGTTTCAAAGATCATTACAAAGTCGGCCTCTTCTAACACAAATTGTTGCATCAGGTCGGCTCATTCATCTGACTCATGTTCATAGCGCACCTTTTCCTTGTCTAATGTTTTAAAAATTTTAGGTGTCATTTGTGGAGCGGGCGATGCGTTTACTCAGATTGCAATTGAAAGGAGACAGTTGAAGAATTACGATTATGCAAGAACTGGAAGATTTTTTATTCTTGCATCAGCTTTCATAGTAAGCTTCTCTATTATTGTTTTAATTTTTTTTTGGAAAAGTGCGGTTAATTTCGCGGAATGCTTATTATGATTACAGATTGTGTTGTAAAAGTAACACCTTGTTTCATTTCAGGCCCCATGCCTTAATAAATGGTTCAGGGTGCTGGAAAGGGTGAGAGGTAATCCAAAAGTTGTTCCGCTGGTTCGTGTAGCCATTGATCAGGTAAGAAATTTTTATGAAACTGATAAATCTATTCATTTTTAGTGATGGATACAGCTCAGCTTCTTATACAGATCCCAATATTCTATTTATTTCTCTCCTTTTTCAGCTAACGTTTGCACCCATATTTAATGCTGTGATCTTACTCAATCTGCGACTGCTAGAGGGATTAGGGTTTGATATATCTTGGAGAAAAATGAAAGAGGATTGGTGGACTATATATTCTAGCAGTTTGGCGGTAAGTCGACTTCGCTCTCCGCTTTCATGATATATTCCAATTTTTCTTAATTATGTTAATATGAAAAGTAAAGCGTTGCCTTAGCTGCTAACCTTTTCAGGTCTGGCCTGCCGTACAATTGATCAATTTCTACTTGATACCACTTAACATGCGAGTGATAATCGTTCAACTGGTTGCCTTTTTCTGGAATGCGTATTT